TGAAATTTATTTTGAGTTAAAGTCAAAATAAACAAACAAAATGCACATTTATTAAGTTTGATTTATGTAAACAAACTCCGGAACATCATGTGACCATAATATTATTAAGTTACGTGACATTACTAGCATGTAATCACGCTTAAAAAGTGGTATTCAGAGACTTTTGGTGACCCTCTGTATTATAGATTTTAAAGCTATTTGGTAAACTTGATCTATAACCCTCATTATATTGCCTAATGTTTTGCTAGCATGAGACTTAGAAGTAAAGGATTTCTTGAATACTTCTTCTTTTAGCTTGATACTTTTTTTCATTAGTACTTCACTTCACTTCACTTTTTTTTTACAGCATAACAGTTTCAGGATTCATTATCAATATTATCATCATCATCATATTCATCATCTTCTTCGATTTCCTCTTCTTCAGAATCCTCTTCCTCTTTCACTATGTATTCTTCAGAGTCTTCAGAATCTTTTATCTTATCTTAGTATACATAATTAACTTTTTTAGTCCACTTGCCTTTAGGACAATTAACTTTGTATGACTAGCCTTTTTACAGACAAAATAATGTTAGATAAGTTTGCTTGATGCTTTGCTTAGTATTACCTTTCTAACTACTTTTTTTATAGTATAGACACTTTTAGGTGTGAAGAGGTTCTTTCTAACATGTGCTATTTTATTTGCTTCTAGCCTTTTTTTAAGTTCTTCATAAATAAAATTTTCTAATGTAACATTATCTATTCCTATTCCTATATAAGCCAAATAAATCTCTTGTTAGCTGAATTTTAAAATCATCTTTTTGTGATTGAGTTGTAAAGCTAACTGGAACTGATGCGAAAGCTTGTATTCTTTTGTCTGCACTTTTATGCTATTTATTATGTAACTCAGTAAAAAATGCATTGACTATAGCAGAGTTAGCAATTCTAACTCTCATTTCTAAATTAGAAGGCAAATGATTAAATAGATAAGGTATAGCATCAGCATCTTACATTGTTTATACTAGTAATTTGATTCATTTTTCATAATTATCTAGGGTATCTGTTTTAAAGAATTTTTCATTAACAAGAGCAAATATAGCACTTCAGTTAATTCTTACTATAACTTTTTTATATATTTTACATAACCAGGCTAGAAAGAGAGGTTCAGTATTAATAAGTGGATTATTTCTAGCATAAGGATCATTAGCAGGAATAGGTGCAAACCTTTCAGTCATCTTATTTCTCATAACATTGCTTTTTACTTGTATATTAAATTGGGTGATAGCTAATGGATGTGCCATTTCATTCATATTTCTAAGCTTTTGGTAATATACATCTAGAGGCTCTTGACCATTATAATCAAGTAACTGTGTGAGTGCTGAGAAAATAGTATGCATGATATCTTGAATAGTAGTCATATTTCCTAAAGGATTATTTTGTAAATTCAAAATAATTTGTCTTAAATTTAATTTCTTTACCTTTCATTTTAGATAAAATTCTGAACAGTTCAGATTAATTTGAAGATTTTTCAGATCAATTCAGATCAGTTTCAGATTGCATAAAAATTGATCTGAAAATTTTCAGTTCAGTTTAGATTTTTTTCTGATTATAATTCTAATCTAAACTGAAAAAATCTGAACTGAATTGATAATTTTAGATTAATCTAAAAGTTCAGTTTGATTATATGTGAAAATCTTAGAGGATTGCAAAAATTTAGCGAAACTCTTAGAAAATTGCAATTTTTTGCAGTTTTTCTTTGAATTTCGCAAAAAAATTGTGAAAACTTTGAGAATTGCAATTTTTTGCGATTTTTTTTTGAATTTCACAAAAATATTGTAAAACTTTTAGAAAGTCGTAAAAAATTGCGATTTCTTTTCAAATTTTACAAAAAAATTGCGAAACAATTGAAGAATCGCAATTTTTGTGATTTCTCTTAGTATTTCGCAAAAAAATCAATTCTCCTAAAGTTTCAAATATAAATTACAAATTTCTTATATAATTAAACTATAATTTCAGATTAATCTGAAAATTCCAGTTCAGTTCAGATTTTTACCAGTTTGCGATTTGAGTTCAGATTTGGATTAGCATTTTTAAGATTAATAATCTGAACTGAACTAAACTGAAAATTTCAGTTCAGATATAGATTAACATCTAATCCAGACTGAATTGAACTGTTCAAAGCTTTAATTTTAGATATTGATTATATAATTAGTCTCGATTATATTTTAGCAATCCTATTTCATTTCTACTTTGACAATAATAACTTTTTAAATTTTTAGTCTGTTGAGTATATGCAGTGTATCTTCTTTTTCACCAACATTTTTCATAAATATTTTCACATACCGTATTTCTAAGATTAATAATTTTATCATCTTCTTGTATTAAGCTTATTTTTCATCCTTCCATGTTTGCTTTATCATCTGTACCCTTCGAAGATAATCATTTCTAAAATTTATCATTTATAATCCTATTGATCTGCCTATTGATGCATTAAGCAAACCTTATAAGTTAGCATTATTCTAAGCATGTCTTTGCATATATTTTCAAATAGTTATTATTGAGATCTCTATGTCATTTAATGTATTTTTTAGATCAAATGATGTATCATCATTGATATAATTTTTAATCCAGTCTAAAGCTATACCAATATTTCTTAAAATATCTGGCAGTACCATATTTTCTTGATATTCTTCTTCAGAAGGTTTATTATTATTATTTTAAAAAAGTGATATCTTGAGAATTTGGAATTTGAGCTTTTCTACTATATCTTCTAACAGAATGGTTCGATTATTTTGAGCAATTAATGTCTTATCCTTTAATTCTAAATGATCCTAACATTTTTTGAGATTATGTAAGGTAGAGCAGTATTCTACTTTTAATCTATCTAACTCATTTTCATAAGATATGAGATTTTTTTTAAGATATTTAATATATAGTTCACATCGCTCTAGATCATTTATGAGCTTACAAATCTTTTTCTTATTTTTAATGGTAATAGTTTCCTCTTTAGTAAACTTTATTTGCAATTCTAAATTATTGTCTAGTAAATTGATATATATCTATTCAACTCCCATTAATTCCTATTATTTAGATAGATTTGGTTAAAACTCAAAAACTTGATATTTCTATTGTTTTGCAAAAGATTTATTACCAGCCTGTTGGCCATTAGAGAACTGCAAAAAAATTACATAAAGCCTCTAAAAAAGCTAGGTATAATTTTAGTCTAAACAAAGTTAGAGATTAGCTTGAAAGACAGGCTGTTTACTAAATTCATATGCCTCATCCTAGATTTATTCAGCATACCTCTTTAATAATATTCAGACTTTAAATAAAATGCACTAATCTGACATTACGTTTATGTCTTAATGACAAGTAGATAATCAGATTTATAAGTATAGAAGTATTATCAAAGATATTGCAACTAGATATCAGTGTAGTTTTGCATTGACAGATAAATCTTCTATACAAATGGCTAAGAATATACAGAAAATTTATAATGATCTTAAGGAGCCTCTCTCTTGGCTGAATTATTTTATTTCTGATAAGAGAATGGAATATATAGATGATTGTAAGAGTTTATTACTTAGTTATAATGTAAAAATACAATATGTTAACTCAAAATAAGACAATACTATAGCTAAACGTGATCATCAGAAATTTGAAAAACATTCTTATATTCAGCAAGATGCTAAAGATTTTCTGTTACCTTTATTAAATTATTTTAGAGATTGTATTAGAAAACTTCATGTTAATGATGATATATTTAATAATACTCCTACTCAGTTAATAGATATATCTTCTAATGAGAAGATAGAAAGAGTACTTAATGGAATAAAATAATTGTTAAGTCAGCCATAAAATATAGAAGGCCTATTGGATTTGATGAACATTATTTATTTTACTATAACTTAGTGAGATATCTTCTTAAACTTGAGAAATTAGAATATGATCCTGCTAGAAGATGTATTACTAATATGAATTGATCTTCTCAAATTTATCATATTTACGAATATTTAATGCAAAAAATCAGCCAATTTTATATTAGTTGGTAGATAATGAGGGACATGGTCTGAAAAGATCTTTTGTGAAAGAGAAATTGATGGTCATTCCTCCTGATACTGAGTTGCCTTCCCAATAGATCTTATTAAATTGACGATAAGAAGTCTTCTGCTTTATTATCGATATCTTCTTTTTTAATGAAATAATCTTTAGCTAATTTATAATATAACTTATATAAATCTATAATGGTATTAAGAATCTTTGGGTCTCTTCTATACCAAGATTTGTAATTATCCATAATTTGATAATATTTGTGCTTATTAGAAAATATTGTTTAGGCTAAATCTATTATATATTGTTTAAAATCTTTTAATTGGCGTAATTTCTTAACTTTTTCTTTATAACTTTACATGAATTTTCTATCCTTAGGTTTTCTATAATATAGTCCTACTTTTATTACATTTATTAATACCTGCTTAACCTATTGAGAGGTGGATTTGATTTTGAATAAAATTTCTTGATTTTGATTGCTTATTATATATATATAAAGATTTGTTTAATTAAAATTATTTCTATATTTTTTGAAAAAAAAATGAAAGCAGATTACATTTGTAATTATTTTTATAATTTTGGTAATATTTGTGGTAAAGCTTGCACTCATCTTAAAGGTTGTTAATTATACTTCAAAGTTAGGAAATGTCAACTGTATTCTGTTTGTGATAAGTTTATAAAGGTAGATAAATCTACAGGAATAGATAATAGTCTATGTAGTAATTGTAATAAGAGCAATTATCAGATCTGTCATGTGAATAAGCTTTGGGATAAGGCTATACTACTAGATTAGATATATCTTATAGGTAAGACTTAGAGGTGAGACTTATCATATATACAGGAGGGTGAAATAAATATTGAATAATTTTTATTTGATATTTATTTATATTTATTTGCTACAATAAATTCATATAATATAT